ATCAAATCTTTGCATATATCGCAATTATTGTTCGTCGTACGAGTTTAGATGTTATTACAACTTTTTTTCATTTCATTTCAATAGCTGTGTTACTTAATTTTTCATTTTCCTTAGCTGTGTTACTTAAAAATATCAGCTAATTAATTCTTTAAAGATATTGTGATACTATTGTTGCATCAATTAGCACAAAATACTTTGTAAATTCTTATTAAATCATTTATCATAGAATTTCAGCAAATTAGCACAGTATCTGTTTATGCAAAATTTCAAATAGGTAACGAAGTTGCAATTATACTTCAAATTAAATTTGGAGGACATAATCTACTAAGTACGTAGACTATTCCCACCAAATTCCATAAAAATCGAAATGCGAAATACAGCCTACTTCATTTTTTCATATAAGTACCGCGAGTTCTTTACATAAAAAGTTCCAATAGAAATATAAACGGAAGGACGGACGAGTTTGAATCGACCCAAAAAGTGATTTTAAGTTTATGGATGCATCAAAAGAAGAGATAGGATCCATTATTCACGGTATTAGATTGGCTAGTGTAAATAAAATAATATTACGGTGTTGTTATGATTTAATTCAACTCATTTAATATGTGGAAAACGCATAGGTACTTTTGCTAAATCCTAAACCAATTAAGATATCGAAAAATACCTTTGTGCACATAAGTATAACCAGTAGATATACAAGTAATAAAAAGATTTCGAATAGTAAAAAAAAAATTCCACATATTACCAAAATTCAAAACAGGGACTATATGTATATTTACATAGTTGATTTAAAACTGGAGATAAAAGAAGTTTTTATTTTAATTTTATTTTTAGAATAAAAGCAAACAGCATTTAGTTCAATTGTTTGCAAAAAATAACCAAAACGAAAAATTAATTCACATGTACACATGCAAAATAAAAATAACCAATTTTGGTTAATAATAACCAAAGTGGCAACACTGGCTGAGATCTAATGATTATTTCATAAATTTTACAACAAAAACAAAATAACTCAATAAAATTTAGCAAAAAATATAGGAATGAGTAAAACATATAAAAAAGGAAAATCAAAAGTAAAATGAGTAAATTTCAGCTACACGGCAAAAAAATGGTTGAAGCCCTTTTCGGGGGTTCAGCCCCAGTCGGGGGCTAGGTGAAATAATGGACCGATTTTAACCATTTAACCATCAATAGGCTTTGTTTACATGGACACACGGACGGTCGGACGGACATCGTTAAATCGACTCAATATTTTAATGCGTTACAAATATCAGCACAAACGCATTATACCCTTCCCACTATAGTAGTTTAGGGTATAAAAATTCGGTCATGCGTATGAAATATATTCCCAAACTTTATATAGATTTTCCTTTTAACGGCTTTTTATATTATTTATTAATTTAAAATTAGCAATGGAAGCAGCACATAATAATAAACAAGCTAACCACAAAAGTAAAATGTATCAAAATTCTAGTACGCAGAAAATGCAGTGTGTTCTTTTAAGAAATACTGATGAAGCTCACCCTAACAGCTAATTAAAATTAGTAAATTTATACATATACTTTTTGGTTGCTATTAATAAGGTCTGTGACAAAATCTATAAGCCGTTCGAAAAAATATAACCATTTAGGATTTAATGCAATATAAATCAAGTAAGAGTGTTATTATCGACCATGCCGAATCTTATATACCCAACATCAAATCATTGCCGAAATGAATTGCATATTTATAAATAAATTTTGAATTTATGAATCTATGCTTTTGTTATTATCGAAAGTAGTACATTAATTTTTTGAATAGGGTGGGGTCAAAACCAATCCTCAGAAAATTTGGTAGAAAGATTTTGGTTCTTACAAAACTTGTTTATGTTGAATTTCATCGTTGTACTCGTATTTTTAAGCTAGTAATGAGCGGTAAAATCATTTTTTGAAGGAGAATTTATACGGGGGTAGGGTCAAATATAGATCGATTATCACAAAAGTTGGTAGAGAGATTTTGGCCCATATAAAACTTGTTTATGTCGCTGTAAGTAATAAGCGTTAAAGTAATTTTCTGAAGGGGACCTAATCCTCCAAAAATTTAGTAGAGAGATTTTAACTAATACAAAACTTGTTTATATCGAATTTCATCGCTGTATTCTTATTTCTGAGCCAGTAATGAACGTTAAAGGCATTTTCTGAAGGGGACCTTATATGGGGGATAGGGTCAATTATGAACCAATCCTCATAAAATTTGGTTAAGAGTTTTACGTTCACATAAGACTTATTTATGTAGAATTTAATTGTTATACTGGTATTTTTAAACCAGTTATGACTGTTAAAACTGTTTTCCAGGGGGTCACTTGTATGGTGATATTGCGAAAACGTGGACCAATTTTGTCTATTTTCAATACCAAACAAACCTTATCAATAGAGAAAAAATTTCATCCCGTGTGGTCCTATCGTGATTTCAACAGACAGACGGACGGACATCGTCTCTAGACCGTCTCAGAATCTAATAAGGTCCCAGAATATATATGCATTTATGGGTATTAGGCGAATATTTCGATGTGTTACAAACGGAATGACAAAAACCATATACCCCTAATCTTTTTTGATGGTGGATATAAAAATGCATTCGAATATATATGCATAAATACATTTAAATCTTCACAATTGTTATCTATCAAACATAAATGCATAATTTGTTTAGTTAATGATTGTAAATTAATTTAGTAATTCTCCATGTTAAATAATCTATAAAAAATGTGTACTTAGTTTTATAAAAAGAATTATTTTTTGAAGAGGTTGAAAAAACTCTTAAAAATCGAATATATCCACGAATATTTAAAATATTCGGGTTAATTTCATTTGTATTTTTGGTCTTTCGTTGTGGGTTATATCTATGCTTATATTAACCTCCATAACTTTGGCGGCTTTTGCTAAAACAAAAAATAATTTTCTCCGAAATCCTCAAAATTCAAATTACAGCTAATATGTGAGAGATATCGATCTAATTTCTTTACTATTTTATTCCCTTCTTTATTGTCCATAAGTCACGTGGAGGTTTTCTTAAATTGCTAAATGTTTGAAAATGGATTTTTATATTATATATATTTATTTTATATATATTTAACTTAATGACATGGTTTTATTAAAATAATTATCAAAATTTGGTTATGATTTTTAAATATTTGTCATTAAAGCTTTTTGTGACACTAAATGATCAGGGGAATTTGTAATAACTTTTAAAATTTTTAACCGATTTTTGCATTTTATATCAGAATGGAACGATAAATGAATATATATTTCAATTATTTACTACTAAAATCCAAAAAGATTAATTTGGTGTAAAAATTTTTGTAAAAACCTTTTCCCCTTCAGAGCCGTGGTGCCACCAGTTAACGTGATTCTTTCGTGATAAATTTTTCCAGAATGCATTTCTATAAATTTAAGTATAAGTCTAGTGGCAGAGACGGCCACTATTTGCAACTTCTATAAAATTACCGAATTTTAGTAGAAATCATGAGATCAGTTTTTAAATTATTTTGACATTGATTTTTATTTTAATTGACACTAAAAATAAATCGTTGACATGCAGTTTCCTTCCAAGAATGAAAAAATAATTTATAACCATAAACAAATAATGATTTCTGGGATTAACATATATTTATTTGTATTTAGCTGAGCCTAACTATTTGCAAATAGTCTTAAAAATGCTATAAAAATGATAAAAAAAAATAAAAAAATCTGTTTGCAAAAATTAAGATTTTGCAAAATATAGGAAAAAGTTGGTTGTTTTTCTTAACGTTTCACACTTTAGGCTAAAATAAAATCTAAAAAAATATATACTAACTTTTTCAATTTATTTCATCAAACTTTGTGAATTTTAAGTATTTTGTCTGCTAAAAATATTTCGAGTATAAATTCTATTTCAACAAAATTGAAATTACAAAAAATATATAATTATAACATTTATGTTAAGAATATAAGAAAAAATAAAAATATGTTCAATAATAAGCTGTTACAAAATTTAAGATTTTGCAAAATGTAGGAAAAAATTGGTTCTGTTCTCTTTTGTTTTCAATTAACAACCTGACGGTCTTCAATAATGAGTAAAAAATGTTTAAATGTTTACTAACTTTTTCCATTTATTTCATCAAACTTTTTTATTTTTAAGTATTTTGTCTGGTCAGAATATTTTGATTTCAATTAAAAAGAATTTACAAAAATATATAATTACAACATTAAATTAAGTACATCATGATGATTCATTGAAATCATAATTTGCTAGAAAACGCGATTTAAAATATTTTTTTTTTTTTAATTTTTCCTAAAAATAAGTTCACTAATATGCTGTTACAAAATGTAAGATTTTGCAAAATTTAGGAAGAGGTTAGTTCTGTTCTCTCTTGGTTTCAATTTACAAACTAAAGTCTTCAATAATGAGTAAAAAAATTTTAAAATATTTACTAACTTTTTTTAAAAGGTTAAACAATATCTGTTATATTTTTATACTTTTATTTTAATGTTTGTAACAATTAAAACATCATATTTAAATAAATGTTGCAGATAATATACATATGTATATACGAGAAAATAAAAATATAGTTTAAATTGCGAGAGCCTGGCATTATTTTGAAAAAGAAAATCTCCTAAGTTTAATTTTTGAGAATTATTTTAGTGTCTGCATTTAGAAAAAAAAATTATCGGTAAATATTACTAGATTTCAGAGCCTAGTGATCGCAAATTCGTATTACAAAAATATAATTTCTACTCTTTTAAGAATTTTTGTAAGTTTTCAGAAAAATCTACAATTTTTAATTTTATTCTCGATCATATTTTTGTCTATGGAACGAATCACTGTGCGACCCCTTAAATATATATTTGAAGTTTTGTCGCCTTAGGTGTAGTAGTTCTTATGTTTATCGATTATCTTTTATTTATAATAGATATGTATACCGCTACATTTTTTATATGTATAATATAGGAATATTATATTTTAATAATATTTTTTTTTAGTTCTAGATCCCCGGAGGGTGTCATTCCTGAAGAGTATATTGATGATGCTGTACATTCTGAAAAACGCATTGAAAATAATGGTAAATATACTAAAACTACAAATATAACATTGCGCGATATATAAAATGTAATTTAATAACTCACCTTGGCCGATTTTGTTGAAAAATTGTGTCTAAACTAATAACGTCGACGTCGCACAAAGGGTTGAATTTGGGAAAAATGGAGATTAATTGAAAAAGTAAAATTAGTTTTGCGCATTAAAAGTACATGATTTTTGTTTGAGATGAGCTACTTAGAAGCAATATGCTTTAAATCAAAAAGGGTTTATTTAATAGCAACTAGTTGCACTTATATCATGTATTTTATATTTTATTAGATCTGTGCTTTATGTATGCGCATCATTAATGCTCCTATAAAGCATTATTTAATATATTATATTTATACGTTACTAAAAACCCTTTTAATAATGCTTTTTTAATGTAATAAAACACATGTTCTTATATAATTTTGTTTTTAAATTTAATATAAAATATCAAAACCAAATTTAAAAAATATAAATAAATAAAACACAAAACCTTGAATTAAGATAATATGTAGCATCCCGCGTCTCCTCTGTGATTTCTTCCACCATATCACTCAGCTTTATCTCATTTTTTTAATTTCTATTCGACCGAAATGGCTGAAAAATAAGAAAATATTTTGTGATTTTGTGTCCATATAAATATAGTAAGTGGGTAAATATGTATATCATATTTTTAAATTCGGCTATGCGGAATATTATATACCCCTCACCCTAATATACTTTCAAAATTTATTACAAAATACAATACGTACCTTTTGTTTTACAGTTAGATATTATTTGTTAGTGTACACTTTTTACTCTTCACAACACTTACATTTTTACGTCAGTACTACTCGCTTTAAGATCAAATCAATAACTGAATTGTATATACTCATGTATATTTTTATTTTCTATAGCATCATAAAAACTCCCTTATGTATATAATTTTAATCTATTCGTAAATGATCGCTAAAACAGGTTCTACTGCCTTACGTTAGTTCTTCGCGGAAGCAAAAATATGTAAATATTAATACAATCGGTGTTTTCTTCTATTAATTCTGTACTTTAATTCAACTTAATAAGAAAAACCATCGTCTACCTTACTTTAATGAACGCGCGAAACACTAATATATGGCAGACACTCTTTTTATTAAGATTTTACATAAATTTTTATTTTTCTGAAAGAACGTTTTTATAGAGCTAAGGTCAAATGAGGCCCAATCTTGACCCTTTTTGCTTATACAAAACCAATTCAAAACGTCCGGTTATATGGGGATATGTGAAATAATGTACTGATTTTAAGTATTTCCAATACTTACTTACGTACTTGCCCCATTTGAGGATGATTTTGGTAAATTATATCGGAAATGGCGAACTGTGCCGTGCGTACAAGGTTAACATAGACACACAGATGAATATTATGATAAAATATCAAAAATTATCCAGATTTAGAAATAAGTTCCAAAAATCGATTTTCTAAAACTTTCCTGCTACACCGAAATAATAAATGATCAATAAAGTATGTATTCTAAGTAAGCATACTAATAAATATACCAGAACTTGTCTTGTCTTAATTTGTTTACCATCATTTTTGTTGTTATGATTGTTATTGTTGTACTGAATTTTAATTCAGTTTTGATTTATGTTTATGACGAGCAAAACCACTTACGTGATTATCGTGAATCACGCGTGATCTCAAATTATCGTGAGTTTTTACTTTTTTGTCATAAATATATTGACGTGGGAATTTCGTAGACCGATTAATGACCATGTTTGATTTTTTTTATACTGTACAATACTTACATGGTCGTGGGTAAAAGGAACTAACGATCCCAACTCTAGTTTAGACAAAGCATTTAGAGCTGGTTTTATTACTTAGTTCATCCTAATCAGCACTATACATAGTGTTCATGTTCCTAAATAATAGGGAACTTCTTGATTAGGAACTTTATAGGTTCCTAATAACCTCGGCTCCAGCTATTTCTGGTAAAAGCAATTTATATGAAGAGAAAAACCCCTTCCAATAGACAGTGACATCAGAAGGCGAAAATATTTCAGGTGGAGAATAGTTATGAGGTGGTTTATGAAGAGGAGTATAATAATTTTTGGCACCATGGGGAATATTAACGAGTTTACCACATTTTTTAAAATAATAATAAATAATTTTAATAATACATTTTTAATAACATATTTAAAAAAATTGTTAATTATAGCTACTTATTTCCAAATTAAAGCAATGCTCATATTCAATAAAAGTGTCAAATATGTCAAAAACAAATATTTATTATTTTTTTTATAAAATGGTTTTGTTTTGAGTGTAGTATGATTATTTATCAAGAAAAAAATTATAAAAATTTATTTCATTAAGTTTTCCAAAAATGTTGTAAAATTATTGAATTCGATCTAAACCCAAATTTTGAATTTAAGGTAATTTTTTTCTAAATATACAAAACTGGATTTATTTTTCAAATATTACAAAGTATATACCTTCATTTCCAATTTAATTTTTTATGTTATCGCTTTTCATTATAAAGCTACAGCGAAAATTCTAAATCAAGTAATTATTTCCCGAAAAATAAAAAAGCCCGTAAAAGCTTACAAATTTTTTTTTTGTTATGTATTTTTATTAAGAAATTTATATTTTTATGTGTTTTAACATATCGATGAACAATAAGTCAAAATTAAAGCTCCCCTGAATTAATCTCCATTTTTGACAATTTCAACCCTCTGTGCGTCGGTTACAAAAATTAGTTCACATCACATGAAATCTCCCATATTATAAAGGTTGAACCCACCATTATCGAAAAATTTTTAATCGTTGTTACTTCAAAACTAATTGACAAATTAAATTTTTGTTTGAATATGCTGTTATTTTCTAACTTAGCTTCAATAATTATATTTTTGATTACACAAGTTTGGAAATTAATACTTTTGTTTGCTCATAGAATGAAATATATATTTTTAGAAAGGGCTATGTCCGATGATTAATTAACAATTTACATTTTTTTCTATCTATATGTCGGAAATTATCTTTTTAATTAAGATTTTAGGGTTCAAAAAAGTTATGAAATTTTTTAATAGAACATCAACTATATTTTGTATGAACATTGTCTGACATCTTAGAAGTACAATTGGGAGAAACCATGTGAAAGCGGACAGCAGTCGGATTTACCATCTCCGATTTTAATGAAACTTACCACACTTATAATATTTATAAAATCGGAGATGGTAAATCCGCAAATTGCTATTTTCTGTCCGTTTTGATATGGATTCTCCCAGTTATCTTCTCGTGAATAATTTTTAGCAAAAGACCTCAAAGTTATAGCGGTTTTGAGTTTCAGAGCGGTTTAAAGTAAAAAGTAAAAAAAAAACCCAAAATCACGTTTTTACCTGATACTCAAAAATATAAGCGTGGATATAACCCACAATGAAGGATCAAAAATACAAATGAAAATAACCCAAATATTTTAAATACTCGTGGATAAATTCGCTTTTTAAGAATATTCCAACCTCTTCAAAAAATATTAAAGAAAAATAAGTAACCATTTTTTATAGATTATTTAACATGGTGAATTAATACATTAATTTACAATAATTAACTAAAAAAATATGCATTTATGTTTGATAGATTAAAAATTGTATTTTAAAAATTGAGGATTTAAATTTAATTACGCATATATTCGAACGAATTTTTTAAAATTGCCTTAAATCCAAAATGCTTATATTTTGTCGAACGACTTATAGATTTTGCTATAGACCTCATTAATAGAAACCTAATACCCCATTTGCACATACACGAAATATAGTAGATTTCATTTAAAAATCTTTTTACAAATCTAGATTTTTTCTAAAATATCTCGAAAAAGTGTGTGATATGAAAAATAAGAAGTAAAATGGCATATTTATTAAAATAATATTTATAATAAAAAAATAGATATTTAAATATAACATTAGCTTTCATTTTAGATTAACATTTCATTAATGTTTTTCAATTTATAAAAATTTTGTCGACATCTTTTTATTTTATTTGTTTGTGTTGTTTTTCTCTTTTTTTTTTGTGTAGCGTCGTATTTTTATACCCTACACCACAATAGTACGGAGGGTATTATACGTTTGTGCTGATGTTTGTAACACACAAAAATATTGGTCCTACACCTTAAAGTATACCGATCGATTCAGAATCACTTTTTTAGTCGATTAAGACATGTCCGTCCGTCTGTCCTGCTGGCTGTCCATGTAAACCTTGTGCGCAAGGTACAATATAATTTGATGAAATTTGGACCAAATATTTTTTTGGCACAGGGTCCATTATTCACATAGCCCCTATACAACCGTACCTCCGGATTTGGGCTTTTTATGCCATAATTACGTCAAATATACTATTATCTCTCTAAAAATTGGCACAAATAAGTGTTATATAATTATAAATGACACTGCAGATTTTCGTAATGATCGGCCCTTATTTGACCCTAGCCCCATAGTAACTCCCTTCAAAAAATGTCACAAACGTCTAAAATTGACTTGTAACCATTTGTATCGCAATGAAACTCAACATAACTAACTGTTATTTAAAAATATATCATTTTTCCAAATTTAATGAGGATCGGCCTATGTTGACCTATGCTCCGATATATTTAGAGCCTCATTTAGAAAATTTGTTTTTTATCAATAAATTGCGTAAGTACTTTGGAATTAAGGTAAAATTCAACATAAAAGTTTCTTTATGAAAAGTAAAAATTTTTAAAATATACTCATGATGTAGGGTATTATATGGTCGGCCATGCCCTACTATACTTTTCTACTTGTTTAATATTAAAAACTATTAGATTTGAGTAGATTTTAACGAAATCTAGTTACGAAGTAGATTTGGTTGTTTGTTTTGTTGATTTGTCTCGAAATCTCATATGTACTAGATTTCGTTGTAGTTTAAATGGGATATAAATGTATATAATTTTATTAATTTTAATTAGCGGGTAGGGTGTGCTTCATCAGTTTTCATTGAAAGAAAAACACTGCGTT